ACTTCCACAGAGGCGATGGAAAACAAGTCACCAAGCAAACACAGAAAGAAAATTAGTACCAATCATGCAAACAGCACATCAACCTATGGTTCTCTTTCCAGGTAGCTTTTGAGGCAGACGAGCTGGGAAAGTTTTAGCCTGCACCCCACCACAAATCTTTTATGTTCACTTGCCAACGCAGTTGCACAGCCAGCGTGTCCTGCTCACACACACGTGAACACACACACACACACACACACACACACACACACACACACACACACACACACACACACACACACACACACACATGCACACGCATGTACACACGCACGAATGCTCAAAACACACGTGGCACGCACACACCCAGACTGACAAATATGTGTGTGCTCAGACACACGCACGCGCTGAATGCACGCATGCATGCTTCCACCCCCACACTCTGCACGAACACTGTACACATACATGCACACTCGCACACATGCAAGCTGGCATGCACAAATGGTCCCACTCATGCATGCATGCATCACACACACACAGACACACACCCACACACGCGCGCACACACACACACACACACATCAAACAATACCAACAGAAAGAAAGAGACAGCAAATGTGGAGGCAGGAGAATAAGGCATGCCACTGGGTGCAGAGGCCACAGACAAAAGGTAAAACATACAGAAATGAGCATGTGAAGGAGCAAAAGCAATGGAAATTTTCGACTCATCGTTCCTGACCACTCAGATGCCCATATTCACCCACCTACCTGCTTGAGATTGCGCTCAAGGATTCAACAAGGGCAGGGCTAAGACCACCTTGCAGCATGGCCGGCAATAGATCCTTTACATGGTCCTCCATTTTCTTCCCAATCGCTTGCGCCAGCTTCCCCACACAAATGAGGGCCTCCGGACAAACGGGTCCCTTTCTGGGCACAATCTGAGACATAACACACAACCGTGGGGAGTGGAAAACAATCTATTGAATGACAGAATCCACTCACAGAGGCAAAAAAACAAGTGCAAAGGCAGACAGAGAAGAGAATGTATAATTTTGATCTATTACTTCGAGCCTCGGTATCTACTCTGCCAGCACCATGCCCTTTCTTCCCCATCCACTGTTCCTCAAATCATGGAAAAGATCCCAAAGCTTGTATGAATGCGCTTGCCGCCCTCGCAAAGAAAACAAAAGAAGGCGCGCCCGACAACCACTGTGTGCAAAATCTGGAATACATCCCTGATTATTTGTATCTCTATGGCCAAAATGCACTCAGCAAAATTTAAACTGGCAACTAGCACTCAAGGATCAAAAAGACCACAGGGAGGGATCCCAGCTCATAGCCGACCTCCAAACCCACAGAAATTTACACATCAAACTACTCAAAACTTCTTAGAAGTATGCGAAAACCAGTCAGTTGAAAGGGACTCCGTGGGCGCCTATCAACCTGAATTCTCTTTTTTTTTGTTGGACCATTTCTTGATTTATGTGTGTCATCCTCACACAGGGGCCATGCTAATCTTCAGTACACAATTTCACTTTTACGACGTATGTCTTGAAGGACACTTGAATTCTTGTCTTTCTCTAACACCAAAACTTGCATTACCCCCACCCCCGGCTCAGAAGAGAAGTGCTGCTGAAACTCGCAGGAATAGAAGCTCCCACTCAACAAGAATGAGATCTGTTATCCCATCTTCAATGGCTCTAGTGCGCTTTCCTCACTGGAGGCAGAGCATCCAGCTTCCACCACTATGGATACTGATGTCGGTTGCAGGGGAAACTGGGTCACTTGATCTTGTGAAACCCCACAAAATTGGCACCAGAATTCAGAGCAAGCAGGCTAAGGTGCTTTCACACATACTTGACAGAAATACCAACCAGCATACCTTTGTGCAACGTCCGTGGAATCACTTTTCCTTTTCAGTTTCAGGCCCCATGGAGCAGTTTCCCATACAAAAATTGGATCCGTTTTCACATTACAGCTATCTTATTGATTTTCCAAATTTCCACATCTTATTGATTTTCCAAATTTCCATTGATTTAAATATTCTTCCATAGTTGCAATCTGGACATCGGGATAGGTACGCAAACTATACAGACAACCTGCATGTGGACAGGTATGTGCACTTTCTTTTTGCCTCGGTTTTCCTGGCAACGCCACTATCATCAGCAGAGTTCCCAGTCATCACTGTCACGCTTCATGCCATTTGACATTGTTTCAGAACTACGATGAAACTTCACAGTTCTTCGTCAGCCCCATCATTTTTTTCTATCACACACAAACAGATCATTATTCTTCATCATCATACTCAATTCTAAAGCAAAAATCGTCATGGTCACACTTTCGATGCCACAAAACGAATTGCACAATCATCATGGTTATGTTTTCTGTCAAAGAGATTCTGTATTTCAAATCCAGAGACCAGGACGACCAATCATCCATGAGTTCGTCAGCACGGAAACACAGTTCCAAAGCCAGATGCATCATGTTGTCATGCCAGCCATAATGACCATCTGGTTTATCTTTTCCTCTAAACAAAATTAGCTCTGCAATAATGAAGCTTGCATTCTTCATCATCACTCAAAAGTGACCACTATCATCATCACTCAAAAGCGAGCACCATCATCATACTCATGCTCTTTTCTGTCGCATAATCTCATAGTTGTTGTCTCAACACAGTTTCATGGAGATCTTTCCTGCGGCTTTCACCACCTAGAGAATTTCGTCATCATGCTTGTCATGATTTCCATATTACACAAGATATTTCAGGAATTCATGACCATGGCTTTGTCCAAAGCCAAGCATTTTCATCACCACACATGTTTTCCTGATTGCGAGGGTCATTCTTTCAAAATGGCAGAAACAGATCCCTGCATCCACTGTAGCCAGAATAGTAACAACTAACTTGAATTAAGCATTTGCACAGAAGTAGCCTAAGTGTTGAAACTTGGCAATCACTTTAGGGAAAACTAAAACGAGGCACCGGGGGGGGGGGGGGGGGGGGGGGGGGGGGGKGGGGGGGGGGAGGGGAGAACTAAGAAAAATCGGAGGTCAATCCAGCCATATCATGCAAACAGGGGCTCAATGGGAACCCCTCCAATCTCCATGCCAAGTTTTTGTCCCCTAGCAGACAAGACACTTCAGTTTCATTTGCCCTTCCAATGCCCTTAATTTCCATACAAAAAGTTTCAGGATCATCATGCGTTACACCTTGTTTGATCAAAAGCAGAAAACGCCATGGAAGTCATGGTTAGTGTCCATTAATGTCACAAACGCTCATCACACACCTAAATAGATAAATAGCCTTCTTAATATGGAAGTGTTTCGAGCATCCCAAACCCAAAAGGTTTCCCACATAGGTTTTCCCCCAAAACTTCCAGTAACTAGAGAAAAGGTGAACAAAGCGCCTATTCTGTTACTGTCCCTCGTCACAAAGTCTCATAATATCGCACAGCTAAATAGATCAATAGACTAATAGCACCATTAACATCGAAGTATTTCGAGCATCCCAAGCCCAAAACCTCCCCACATAGGTTTTCCCAAAACACTTTCCAGTAACTAGACTGATGGATGAACAATTCGCTACTTTGGCACTAACCTTCGAGAAGAAGTGAAAAATGGGATGTGTGGAGCAAAAATTCGCCCATGGCTTACTGTCCACATATACACCCGCCACCTGCCTGAGATGTGGACAGCAACATATGGAATGGAATGTGACAGGGCTTTTCTTTTATCATCAGATAAAAACTCTCGCCATTGTCATGCCCATGGGTTTCCAACATGACCTGCTAAAGAAGCTCAGGCTCATGCTCGCAGTCCATAGTATAATGCCACTCACAATCATCATCATCCTGCTGCCCACTGCACACTCTTTTTTTCCCTTCACTTCTCAGCTGCGAGCTTCTCAACATCCACCCTTCTCATTGCTGTGCAGCTCATTTTTCTTCGATGTTTGCAAATCAGCTCCTACCCTCCTCATTACCCTTGGACTCCTTCCTTTCAGTATACATTGGAAGAATCGCGCATGTCGCACTACATACGCATTTGCCATACTTTACAAACAGCTAGCAGATGCCTCTAACAAATCAGGTTGGGTTTCATAACTCCTGGTAATTGTTCGAAGAACAATACAGGGGCAAGTGGGGAGGCAGCAGTGAGATCAAATGCTCAAAAAAGAGTGCAGCGAGAACCAAGGTCTACAGTAGAGAAAAATAAGGGAACAGGAATAGTTATCCTATACAGCGGATGCCACCACAGAAAACGAGAAAAATAAGGGAACAGGAGTAGTTATGCTATACAACGGCTGCCATCGCCGAAAATCAATCTTCACATCCACGTCAGCCTTATAACTTACAAGGCCTATTCGCAAGGGAAAGAAAGGCCACCGTTTTTTTCTTCTGTCATTATCAGGCCTCAAAGGCAAAAGAGGACGCCTAATTTTCCTTTTTGCCATTTACGTCTTTACAAAATTGCCACCTGCCACCTAAATTTTATTTTTTTAATCATCATCAGGCCTCAAGGGCAAACGAGATCATTCTCGTCTTCTACAACATTACCATCTTCCCCACCCCACCATGCCCCACCACCAAACAAAAGAATCACACAATAAAACTCACCGCATCACGTAGAAGAACAAAGATCTCATCCAAATAAGGCACAAGACTGATCCCCACACGATTCGCCATGCCTCCAAGTGCCACAAACCCACTGGCCCTTTCAGAAGGATTCTTCATCACATCCATCAAGTATTGCATGTATTTCTGCAGCACAATAAGATAGAAAAAGTCTTACTCACATAGCTCAAGTTCAACTATCATTCAGCAAACTCACACTTGACCTTACCTTTCTGACACTGACTGCTACATGCTCGTTCGAGCGATGTAGGTGAAGCCAAGGATCCGCAAAGTGATGAAAAGGAAGCAAATGGACAATGCAGCGTCAGCAAAGCATCAAACACGCAACGGACATCCAGATACATACAAAAAATGTAGCGCAATCGAAGACTGAAAGATATGACCTGACCTGAGAGAAAATGATGCACATACACCACACATGTGAGAGGGACCGCACACATGGAGGAAAGATCCCTCCTTGAGCATTCACATGGGGAGATACCACGGATGAGGAGATGGGGGAGAGGCCAGACGAAGATCGAGACGAAGGAGAGGGCCAAGATCAGGATAGGGAAGTCCAAAAATAGTCTCCCCGCCAAATGCCAATCAACGTCTACCACAAAAATGTCGAATCAGATCCCTGGCTTCATAGCCCGATGTAATCTCTGCCTGCAAACTCTCTCTCTCTCTCTCTCTCTCTCTCTCTCTCTCCAAAAGAAGAAGAAGCAGAAAGAAGAGAGGAAAGAGGGGGAGAGTGAGGACAGCAGGAAGAAGACGATGCTGTCTCCTTGCTGGCTCACCTGCAGGCAACTACAGCCGCGCGCCTGCTGCAGGTCGGTGGTGTGGGCCCCAGCTATGGCGCCGAGGTAAGTACCACCGCTGCAGGTATGGCTACCGCCTCCCTCCCTCCCTCTGTCTCTCTCTCTCTCTCGCGCAGCGCCGTGTCGTGCCGCTCCAGCAGCCTGTCGCCCAAGAAGTGAGCTACACGAATTGTTTGTGTGCCCTGGCCGGGCCCAGCTATGTTAAGCGCTGGGCCTTGCTGGTGTGCCACTGGCCCGGGCCTAGGTCCCTGCCGAACGACCAGACCTTCCTGCTGATGCAACAGGGAAGGTCCTTCTAGCGGACGAAAGCGAACCTGCCCTCCAACGGCCCAGTCGCGAAGAGGCCCAGAATGTGGCCTAGGTCCAAACAGACTGAAAGTTTGTTTGGACATCGCAACTCCAAAAAGTTGCCCTGCAACAGACAAACAACAGCAAATAAGTAAATAAATAAACGCTGAACCTGCGGCCAAAACGTGGCCGCGGGCCTCCAGGTCGCATGCCTGGAATGAACAGGTGGCCAGGAGGCCTCAGCAACCGTTGGGCCCCCAAAACAGGGCCCGTGTGCAGGCTCAGCATGTAACACCCCCCCTCCTCCTTCCGAATTCAAGCCGGGTCCAGGGCAAAGCTGATGATCCGATGGTGGAACCTGGGCGTGAGTACGGCGTGGAGCCAAAGGTACCGGTTTCCCTTGCTGCTTGCATTCATAATGTGCGAGGACATCGGGGGCTGTAGAATGAAGTTCCGCACGGATCAACCAACTGTCAGCCTTGTGGCTGCAATAGGAGAAGTGTACCAAGTACTCCGCCGGCTTGGTGCTCTAGCGCCGTTGCGAAATGATGTCGCTAACCTCCTGAAAACCGTCCATGGAGGGTGGGTCTTGCAATCGTCGCCCAGGAAAGTCGTCGTGTTCCTCCGAAACGAGAAGGGCCAAGTTTGAAGAATGAAAGACTGGGTGGACGGGCAAGTGGGCAGTCACCTGAATGACAAATGTAGGTCCTTCGGGTGTGCCACCACCGGGTGCTACAATGTGCCAAGGCCCCATCCATTTCGGGAGAGGCTTGAGGGAGATATCCTGCTCGAGGCTGAATTCCCCGGAGGAGACCCAAACGAGGTCGCCCTCACGGAACGAACAAGCAAGACGCTAGTGATTGGCTTGACGGCTCATGCGTTGCTGCCTCTTCGACATCTGGTCTCATGCCTTGACCAGGAGCTCTTGCATCCGTCGAATGAAGACAAGGTGGCTGTCGCTTTCGGTCGCCCGTGGGACGATGGTGTCCAATGGCGATGTGACCGGCGAGGCATGCTCGAACTCAAAGGGTGACATCCCGATAGCCGGATGAATGGACGAGTTGTCAGCCAACTCGGCGTCTGGCAGCCGCTCAACCCAATTCTTCTCGTCAGGACGAATGAGAGTGGTGAGTGACGAGCTGAACTTGGCTTGAGAGATGAGCCCCATCGTTTGAGGAGACCAACCCAAAAGTCGAACATGATCCAAGTGTTGCGGTCGCTGAAATGGTTTTCACTTTTTGGCAGTCACAGATGCGATCCCCAGACCTTACCTTACCCATGTAAAGTATCGAGTTGACCCGTGAGTGTTTGAACCCACGACCTGTGTTTTGGTAGTTGGCTGTTGTCTGTCGTAGGTCTGTGTAGTTGTAGGGGTTCGATCTGTAGGTCTGTCGAGTAGGGGTCATAGCTGTGTAGAGGTCGTAGCAGTAGCATTTCTGAAAGGTCAAAGTTGTAGCTGCTACAGTCCTGAAAGGTCAAGGTCGTAGCTGCTACAGTCCCGAAAGGCCAAGTCCACAAACTTCCGGAAGGTCCGGAAGTGGCCTTTCGAGAGTTTCTATTGGGTCAAACCACTCGGAAAGTCCACAAACCAATACCGAAATACCGAAGTCCAAAAGTAGTCTCCCCAGAGAATGTCCAATCAATGTCTGCCACAGAATTGTCGAATCAGATACCGGGCTTCATAGCCCGATGTAAGCTCTACCTGCAACCTCTCTCTCTCTCTCTCTCTCTCTCTCTCTCTCTCTCTCTGTGTGTGTGTGTGTGTGTGTGTGTGTGTGTGTGTGTGTGTGTGTGTGTGTGTG